GGGTAGTTATTATTTTACAATTTGACCTTTTGGAGGATCAGCAGTTCTCTCTCTATCGCAACCTGAACATAACCTATTAATAGTATTGATGGTATTGGTGTCAAATCGGCAGCATTCGTTACGCGAAATCACAGGCCCTAGGTCCCCATGGGGCGAAATGAGCAAAGCGTAACTCAAAGTATATCCCAATAATTACTTTTTAACCATTCTATTTATAAGTAAGTATTATTATCGCGGTCATAAATGTTACATTTAATGGATTTCCAGTTAGAAATATTTAACTTAGTGCTTAAAATATTTAAAGCAATTTCAACAAATTTCAAATGAAGATTCGTGATTGGTCACGCGCAATCCGCACTGCTCTCATTACGCTTCTTGGGGACCTAGGCTGGTATTACATTTGTCGTACGACAAAGTTTTTAAGCGTATTGATTGGCTGAAGGATAGTAAAATTCTCGAGTATCTAGAAACTTTCTATTCAGCGGCCAATCGACACGCTTGAAAAATTTGTCGTACGACAAATGTAAGTCCCAGTCTACAATAGAGATTTAAGCCCTAAGCCTTAAGAAATTGACTAATCACAGTCGCGCATTCTACTCATACTTGACCGTGATTGGCCAATTTCTTAAAGCTTAGGGCTTAAGTCATCTATTGTAGACTGGGACTAATAGTACCCCTAGAGCCTGTGATTTCGCGCAACGAAAACAGCGGAACGCTCGTGATTGGTCAAGGCTCTCGTTCCGCGATTTTCTGCGTACACCGTTCCGCTCTATGAGTTTGCACCCTCAGTTCTTTCTGCGTTTATGATCGTTGCGCCGCACTGCTCGCTCGCCCGAGCCCCGAGTGCCCCGACTGCCCCGAGTCCTCCGACCGCTGACGTTGTTGTTCTCGCCGCTCCGAGCCCGACACCGTCGTAGTGGAACTGCCGCGATCGAAATTCCTAATATGGCCAGCGAGAAGAAACCGGCGAAGACGCCGTCGAAAAGAGAGAAAACCGCCGAGGAGATACTGACCGAGTTCCAGTCGCTTCGAACCGAGCAGCGGATGCTGGCGAACAAACTGTCCGAGATGGAGATGGAGTTGAACGAGCACAAGTATGAGTCCGCCTAACCTCTACGCTTGCTACTCTTTTCTATGCTCCCGCGAACGCGCGGTGCGGAAGCTCGCTCGCGCGTTCCTTACCTTCGCGAGACGCACGCTCGAGAGACGAGAGTCACCGAGCGCGATAGAACGTGACTCGCTCGCCGTCCCCCACTAATACGACTGACGTTTTAGAATTGTTATCGACACGTTAAAGAATGTGGACCCCAAAAGGAAGTGCTACAGGATGATCGGCGGGCTTCTGTGTGAGCGCACGGTGGAAGACGTCATGCCGGCCCTGGTGACGAACAAAGAACAGGTGCGACTTGGTATCCCCGTCGGAGCGAAGCTTGGAGATGTCCAGGGAAGGGAGGTGTACACTGCGATAACGAGTCCAAATGTGTTTTCAGTTGATGAAAGTGATAGACGCTTTGAACGACCAGGTGACGAAGAAGGGAATCGAGATAAACGAGTACAAGGAGAAGCACAACATCAGAATCAGAGGGCAGGATGATCTGCAGCAGCAGGAAGAGGACAACAACAACAAGGAAGACAAGAGGAAGGCAATCGTTGTGAATCCCATTGACATTTAAGCGTAATAAACAGGCGTTTTTCTTCTTTTTTCATACTACGTTAAGGCATATCGAGACGTGCGGAGCACAGGTCGGGAAGGTAACTCAGCCTCCGAGTCAAGCGCACTGTTAAATTAGCCTCCATATTTATTTATTGTGCCGTCTCGGAGTGCATTGCGTTTCACGCATGATGCGTCACTTATCCTAGTTTGACATTTGATGGATAACAAGGTTGAATGGTGTATTGTGCGCGAAACGGAATGCACCTTCGGCGTACACTAGGACTAATCGCTGATGCCTTCTCATGTGAATTCAAGCACAGGTAGGACACATCTATACATTTTCCACGTATGCAAAATGTACAAGTGCGTCGCTATGCGCGCAATTCATGTGGAGAGGCACCGGTGATTCCCAGTGCCGCGTCCAACGACGGTACATTGGCGTATTCCATAAGTGTATTCGACCAAACGAGAGAACGTCGCGGTCTCGCAAAAATTTAGGCTCGTTGATGATCTGCGACAGGGTCTTTCGACTACTTGTATCTCTGCGTCAAAAGTGAAATAATAATGTAATGTTCGTACACTTCTCCACAGAGACGTCGTACATTTATTTTCATGTATCTTTGCATTTACATTACACGGTCTCGCCTCTTCAGTCCGCACGGAAGAATCTCCTGTATATAAATCGCGAAAGATACAAATGGCGAGATCAGTTGAGAAAGCAGGGAGAGGAAGGAGGTGGTGTCCGTAAAAAAATTTCTGACGCGAGCTTCACCCTTCGAGCGCGTCGGTGGAGACTCCGAACAGGGTGTTTTGTGCGCCTCGCCGAATTGATTCCGCCATGTTAATTTCGCCGCGCAGCCCGTTCAGTGTCCCGATCATAGACATAGTATATCTAGACTGCTGGTTCTCTCAAATTTCAGGAGTGGGGGTAGAGCTCACGTAGAAAAGGATGCACTCTGTTTCGTGTCTGTGCGTTCTCTCTCGCACAGGTTAGTAACTGCTTCCCTTATCCCCTCTTTTCGCGTGTGCGAGAGAGAACGCACAGACACGAAACAGAGTGCATCCTTTTCTACGTGAGCTCTACCCCCACTCCGCCAACCAGCAGTCTAGATATACTATGTCTATGGTCCCGATACTCCCGATTCGGGCTAGGCTGCGTGACGATCGCACGACTGCGCGTGCGCGTTGATGGGGGATACAGCGACGTACGAATACCACTGCTTAAGCCTGTTACACAATGCCAGGCAACAGGAACAGGGAATAGAATTTCTGAAGGCCAATGTCCACAATGCTAGACTTTGTCCAAGTTCTAGTTTCGAGAAACGTGCAGCTTTTATGGAATAGCTGCACGTTGATTGGCTACAGATTTCTTGAAACTAGAACTTGGACCAAGTTCTAGCATCGTGGACATTGGGCTTAACGCGTTGGATTCGTCGGAAATTTTCTTCCAACCAATTCAACGCGTTAGAAATTCTATTCCCTGTTCCTGTTGCCTGGCATTGTGTGAGGGGCTTTATGGCTCGAAATCACACCACTAGGGTGCCCGTCATATATTACGGCAGTTAAGCCTTGTGTCCACGATCCAAGAACTGCGCCCAAGTTCTAGTTCCGAGAAATGTGTAACCAATCAACTTGCAGCTTTTATGGAATAGGTGCAAGTTGATTGGTTACACATTTCTCGGAACTAGAACTTGGACGCAGTTCTTCGATCGTGGACACAAGGCTTTAGTCCCAGTCTACAATAGATGATTTAAGCCCTAAGCTTTAAGAAATTGGCCAATCACGGTCAAGTATGAGAAGAATGCGCGACTGTGATTAGTCAATTTCTTAAGGCTTAGGGCTTAAATCTCTATTGTAGACTGGGACTTAAGCCCGTATCAGACTACGGATTGAGATTGGGATTAGATTGAAATTTGACCAATCAGAGTAAAAGTTACTGAACTTGAGCTTAGTAAACTTTACTGCGATTGGTTAAATTTCAATCTAATCCCAATCCCAATCCGTAGTCTGATACGGGCTTTACTCCTGGTCCACAATCTTGCTTTAAGTAAGTCCCAATCTACAATAGATATTTAAACCCTAAAGCCTATCACACAATGTCAGGCAACAGGAACAGGGAATAGAATTTCTGACGCGTTGGATTGGTTGGAAGAAAATTTTCAACGAATCCAACGTGTCAAAAATTCTATTCCCTGTTCCTATTGCCTGTTGCCTGGCATTGTGTGACAGGCTTAAGCCTAAAGCGTCGTCTACAATGAACGCAAGACGCTAGGCCGCAAGCAAGAAATCGACCAATCATAGTCAAGTATGAGAAGAAAGATCGACTGTCGTTGGTCGATTTCTTACTTGCGGCCTAGCGTCTTGCGTTTTGCGTTCATTGTAGACGACGCTTTAGTCCCAGTCTACAATAGAGATTTAAGCCCTAAGCCTTAAGAAATTGACTAATCACAGTCGCGCATTCTACTCATACTTGACCGTGATTGGCCAATTTCTTAAAGCTTAGGGCTTAAATCATCTATTGTAGACTGGGACTTAAGAAATTTATTAATGACTACGTTTCCACCGAGGGTCAGAGTCGGGCTAGAGTCGGGTCAGAATCGGGTTGGGGTGAGCGTTTTTGCGGTGGAAACACCAAACTGGGTCAGAATCGAGTTGGGGTTAGGTGTTTCCACCGCA